ATCTGTGCAGAATGTGTAAGTCTATTTTATGCACGGAAGACGGTCCCCAGGATGCAGCCTCCAAGTGAAGGAAACGAGGAAATAGAGTCTGTTTGGGGCTTGCCGAGTGAGGATTGCAGCCGCCGTGTGAATTACCATTTAAAGAGAGGTATGAACAAAGAATGTTGGAGGTATCAGCAAGATCCAAGCAAGCATTTCTGAGGATTTCTTAAAAGGCAGGGGGAGGTTTAAGCCATGAAATTGGGGGGCACAACTCCTCCCCAAAGCACATCTTGTCTCCGCAGCGAGATTTCAAAGAGCAGCCCCCACCCTGAGGCTGTTTTCTGGCAGGGTGCTATGCGGCGCAGGATAATCTGCAGGTCACAGGACGAGCCCGAGGGTGCAGGAAGGCGGTAGGTCTGCGTGCTCTCACTCAGAGGCTGCCCCGGAGGTGTGCAGTGATTCCGATCCAGGAGCAGGAACGTGAAGAGGATTTTCTGAGACCTGCTGAGTCATGCGAGAGGTTCTCACCAGGTCACCTGGCCCCGGACACTGCGGAGCTTGGATGGGGTGTCCAAGTTCTTCCCTCCCCGTGTTCTTCCTTCAAAGGGTGGGTTCAGCCTGCACACCCCGTCCCCACAGGAGTCGGCTGCTGAGTCAGGATGCGTGAGCCCCACTGAGGCCCAGCGCTATTCTGCTCCTGTTGAATCTGGGCCCCAAAGTGGACCTCAATAGACCTTTCATGGATACCTGGTGTGAGGCCCACTGGGATGGGAGAGGTTGTAGGTTCTGGAGGAGAAAAAAAATTGTCTCAACAGTGAGGCAACTGCCTCCGCTCAGCTAAGATGGTGGGTACGACTGGTCGACCCTTTACGAGACTCCCTCCCCTGCTGTGATGGGTCTGCTACTGTGGAACTCACCCATCATCCCTGGCGAACGCACTTTTTGCCCAGAAAACTCTCTCCATTCAAGATGTAGAAAGATTTAACTCCAGGGGCCTCCCTGGCAGTGCAGGGGGTTGAGCGCAGCGCTGTGAAGCTGTCCGCAGGCTCTGCAGTGTGGGCTCGATCCCCCCGCCAGGGAGCTGATCCCACAGGGTGCAGCAAACCCCTCCTGACTCCCCGGTGCTCCCCTCAGCAGTGGATTTCAGTAGATCCACCTGTTCTGCTCCCTACCCTGTCTCTGGAGAATCCTCTCACCCCTGCACCTCTGGCCTGTACCCCAGCTCTTGTATAAATAAATCTTTATTTTAAAAAAAGATAGATTTAACTGTATCCATTCAAAATCAATCACTATTACCCTTACTTGAATGTTATAGTCATTTTTGGACCCACAAAAATCACTATTTAGTTTTTTTTTTTTGTTTTGTTTTGTTTTTTTTTTTTTTTTTAAGAGAGGTTTATTTATTGATGCATGCAAGAGCTGCGCTGCAGGCCAGAGGTGTGTGGGGTAAAAGCTGACAAGCTACAGGACGGTCTGCACTGTCTAGCACTTTCCTGTGAGATGAGAAAAACCAAGCCGTTCTGCAGAAAACTGCGACCTGTTCCACCGCTGGGTCTTACGCTGGAGAAGGGACAGTCCCACGTGGCTCCTGAGTCAAACACGGCCCTGGGTAATCTAGGCAAGAGCTCAGGCAAGTGCAAGGTGGAGAGAGTGGGAAAAATCCCTACTTAATGCACAACAAACATTTTGATAAAGGATTATGTCCGGAGGCCGGTGAGTGAAATATCACGGAGGATCACAGAGCCTGTCATTTATTAAAACAAATATGCAAACTGAAGTCAAAGCAGAGAACAAACAGCAGCCAACTGAAAATGGCAGACAAACAAAAGCAAAGGTAAACATGGAAAGCCCTCGGGAGCTGCCCTGGCTGGCGTTGGGACGACCTGACTCCCTTCCAGATCTTTGCCTGTGCCTAGAAGCTTCCTGAAGGATCGGGGAGGTCATGGATGTGTCTGATGAGGGATTCTCAGTGGAGGAATTATCAGTGGAGGAACAGGCTGACCGGAAGCCTCACCAGGTGAGGATTTCCAGTGATGACATTTGGGAGGTGCAGAGTGACTCTGCTCACAGTGGCTGATCGGCCCCTGCATGCGTCCTTGGCACTGTTGGAGAGTTTTTGCAAACACTGTGACATTAACTGGAAAATGGCGGCCCTCTGCCAGGTCAGATGAGAGAGGCACCCTTGCAAGGCTTGCTTGGGGTGCCTGCTGGGGCTCTGCTTTGTAGGGTTTTCCTGTTCCTTTGGGGGGTACTGCCAGGATAGCAAGTGCATGCCTTTGCCCGTCTCGTACCACCACACAGGATGGGCTCAGCAGGCCATCATGGGCTCAGCAGGCCGTCGTGCCTACCGTTCTGCTCTTCACGTGTCTTGGCTACAAAGTCCCCTTGTTGCCCCAGCTGACACGGCACAGTTATGCCTCAAGGGCTGGGTGCCCCTCCCCAGTGCTGGCGCAGACCCTGTCCCTGGATGCGTAGTTTATCCACACTCGGACGTGGCTTTGGAGTCAAGGTTTACATGGAAACGGGCCGGCCGAGAGTAGTGTCACCCAACTTGCCTACGCCAGGAAGAACCCCCAGCACAGCCAGTAATTCCCTCCACAGCGGTGGGGCTAGGAAAGCTGTCAGGCCGGAAGGCAGAGGCCGCACATCCGGGGATGGATTGTTGGGTGTGCTCTGGCTGCTGGAGGGGTGTCCTGGGCAACGTGAGGTGTTTGGCAATCCATGGACTTGAGGATGTCTTGCTCTACCAGTGTCCTACAACACTCTTAGGGCAAGCTGTGTAGATGCCTTGAAAGTGTGGCTTTCAGAGCAGAGGCAGGGGCCTGTCCAGGCCTCCTGCGGCAAGTGCTCAGTCCCAGCTGCAGCTCTGAACGCTGGCTCAAACCAGCTTCTCGGCCAAACCTGCTGCAGCCTGCTCTGAACACCATGGGAGCTGCAGTAGGATGGAGAGGATCCAGGAACATCACCACAAACGGGGACTGTGGGGCTCACCTCCTAGGGCTCGGGGCACCAGCACTGTGGGGCGTCACGGAGGGAAAACACTATTTCTGGTGACCTGGGCCAATGGCTTCTGTTGGCCACGCAGGGAGTTGCTGAGGCCCATGAATCAGGAAACAGCCGTCACAGAGGACACAGAAACACAGAGGGTCCAAGATCCTGCGACCTGGAGAGACAGGATTTACAGTTGCAGATACTGGGACAAACATTTGAGGTGGGAAAAGAGGAAAGTCTCCCTGGTGGCCTTCCATCCCCTGTGGGCTCCAAGGCGTGTGCACGTGAGGACACTGCTCTGCATGGATCCTTCTCAAGGTCACACTGGACCGATGTTAAAGGGAGTCGTGCCTGCGAGGTCACAGGACTTCCTTGAAAATAAGAGGATTAGCAAGATCAAAAGAGCAACCTCCTGCAATAACCTCTAAGAAGAATGGCTTTAATTTTCCCTGGATTGACAGTTAGAGTGACGGTCCCAAGAGGGCAGGACCTCAGGAAGCATCAAGGGAAGCCGGGTTGGGGGGCAGCAACAGAAAAATGGGGAAAACTCAAGGGACCTCAAAGGGCAGGGGGCTTGAGGGTGGGCGGGACACTATATTGATAGCGATTCAGCCCCTGCTCAACTGTCTGATCCGGGGAGGGGACTGAGAGGACGCGATAGGACGTGGCGAGCTGGGAAATGAGAGTCATTTGCCAGATGACTCAGGGCACCATCGGCGGGAAGATGAGAAACAAAGAGAAGTGGAAATCTCAGCATCAAGAGCGGAGAGGACAGAAGCAAGACGGCGCTATTGCACAAATGGAGCTGGTCATTTTCACAGCCTTACGCCTGTCCAAACACCCAATCTATTTGAATTTCGTGCCGCTTTGAGGATATTTTTATGCCTTTTCTGAGACTGTTCAGTTCAGCCATGGTGATGAGCTCACCTGAGTGACCCAGGTGCAGTTTGGTCTCGATATGTGCAGGTTCCTAGTTGGATTGCTCTTTGCCCACTTTATCTTTATTCATGATGCCCATCAGAGTCAGGCCAGTAGAGTCCTGATTCGATCGTACACAGGACGCGGGGGAGAGAGGACTGTGGAGGGGGCCCAAACGATTGTCGGGTCCATGTGGGTGTGTTGGTGTTGGGTGTGGGTGTTGACAACACCTGGCGGTGACAACACCTGTACTTGGAAAACTCCAACACCCAAGCACTGACGGAGACCAACGCTGCCTCGTGAAAAATAAATAAAAATTAACAATAGAGCCCTAAAAAAAAATTGTCCAAGACAGGCCGAGAGGTTTGTGATTTGTTGCCATGGTTTCTTGAGCCTGGGCCGGCTAGTATGTCCACACTAGTGAGTGGACGAACTAGTGAGTGAAAGAACTTGAGTCTCACTCAGGAGCTCCAGGTAACGCAGGAGCCGCATCAATTGTCGCGAGAGCAGGGTCTACACCTGTGGAGATGTGAAATTGTAGAGATGGATTTGAGAAGGATTCTCAATAGGGCAAAACATGAGAATTTAGCCTTTTTCAAACCATTTTGATAACTTGCATTTAAATCTAATCACGATTCCAGTTCTATCTTTGTTATTGATGTTACATTTAGTGCCCATGAGGACGGGTCCTTGAAAATGGATTCGTGGCAGAGCCGCCATGTTTGCAATTATTTTTTAAGCTGCCCAGGGACATCTTTGGTTTCTGAAGATAAGTTTAAACATACTGAGAGTTAAATAAATACTACGGGAGAGGAGATACAGGGGTTGAAATGTTGATCCCACTTGGAACTCAGCACATAAGAGAAAGCAAATATTAACTGTCCTTGAAACACCTCATCTACAGAGTGCTCTGCACTTCCTCGAAAGGTCAAACGTCTTCATCAACTTCTGCACCACTTGAAACTAATCTCATTACTGAAATGATACTCCACGCCCATGCCCATCACGGCTTCCAGGATAAGACATGACCGCCAAGACCGCGTGACCCCAAGCCATTGGTTCCTTGCTGATGTGATGCAATAAGACCAATAATCCACCCACAGGCCAACGGTATAAAAGAGCACACGTCCAGAGTCTCTTCACACTTCACACGCTTGCTTCTCCAGAAGAAGGACGACAAGCCGGCACGAAGATGAAGCTGCTGCTGCTGACTCTAGTCCTTGGTCTGGCATATGCCAAACAAAACTCTAAGGTACCAGTGACCTCCTGACGGGGGGGATGCTGCTGTGTGTGTGCATGTGTGCACGTGTGTGTGATGTGCCTGTTAGCAAGAATGCATCAGATTTTACATAACCTTGGATTCTGCATCTATGAGCATAAAGCGGTCATCTATGATGTTAGTGGGAACGGAAACAGGCTAAGCTGCTCTGGATTTTCCCTGAACAAGGGAAAATTGGAAATAACTTGATCCAGCTCACCCACACTTGGGCATCTATGTGAATCAGGGAAACTATTAACTCAGTATTATCTGCTCTGAGATGGTTACTGCAGCACTATGTATAACAGCTCAGGTAAGGAAGCAGCAGGAGTGCCCATGGAAGGGGGGATGGGTCAAGAAGATGAGGTCTGGGCACACGGTGGAATATTATTCAGTCATGAACAAGGAAGGAATGTTGCTATTTGCAGCAAAAAGGAAGGAGTAGGAGGAAACAATGCCGAGGAAACAATCACAATGACAAAGGCAAATAGTGGACATTTGCATAGTGGACAATTAATTGGCTAAAGCAAAATATTTATCAAAATGAATGGGTACAAGTTAAAGAAAAAAGGGTTCTGAGGTGAAGTCAGCGGGGCGGCAGACAGGGTGAAATGGGTAGAAGGATGGGGGGCAGGAATAGAAAGTATGAAACAATGCATCTAACTTGCAGCTTTGTATATACCCCCACTTTATCGGTTAATCAATAAACACGCACAGCTGATGTGCCAAAATGATAACTTTTTGGCAGGATATTTCGGTGACATTCTTTGAGGGGTGATAAAAAGCTCAACCCCGCGCTTTCTTTCGGAACCCTACTCTTTATTTCACTCCCTGTAGGTTAGTTGCTGGAAGGCAGACCCTACAGCACTCAACACTATTTGATTTATTTTTTTTTTAATTGATGTCAATGGCAGTGAAAGATCCAGCGGGTGTCAAAACAAGAGAGACACTGACCAACTTTGCTCATGAAATCTTTCCAGATTTCCGGAGAATGGCGCACGCAGTACATCGCGTCCACGAACACGAGCATGACAGAGGAAGGTGGCCCCCTCAGAGTGTACATCCGTGAATTCACCTGCGACTCCGAATGCGAGACAGTCAACGTCAGTTTTTATGTCAAGTAAGCGAAATCTGCCCAAATGTTAAGTGACGTGACTTTGGACAGGCGGTTCAGTCTCCAAGCTGTAGATCTGAGGTTCAAGATTGTAAGAGTCAGAGCTCTTCCGGAGAAACGGCGCTCTGAGTTTTGGGGGGTGTCTTGGTCCACAGATCAGCGTGAGCCATATTTCTGGAGCGTGTGGAGGGTGAGCAGCTCCATTTGAATTTTGTCATTAGAGAGAAATCCCACTAACAAAGGCTTTAGGGAAGTCTGGATCACATGCAGAAAATTTCCCCGCAGGGGAGAGCATTTATCCAGCAGACACTGGGGGAATGTTTTCCACCAAGAGTCACAGGATGAGAGAAATGGCTCTTATAGGAACATGGATGTAGTAAAACCATCAAGAGTCCAGGGGATGTTGAGTGTTCAGGGTGGACACGCTCCATGTATGTGGAAAGGGTTGTATTACAGAAGACTATGCTGGAAATGAGAACCAGAGGCCTTGGTCTGGAGAGTTTCACGAGTCAAGAAGATTGATTTTCCATTCGTCGTGTTGTAAGTTAGCACAGGGGTCGGACCGAAAGTAAGGAGCAGGTACGGTTCTGGTTCTGCTGAATTATCAGTGTCCTAAGTACATTCTGCTGCAGAGTGTATTCAAATGACTAATTTGAGGGAATTTTAGCAACAGGATACGTGAGAAAGGGGTCGGGTGAAATCGACAAGTTAACAGAAAGGTAGAGGATCAGCTTATTTCACAACTGAAATGGTACAGTTTGAACTGGCCCACCAGTAGAAATGGCAATAGAATTCAACTAAATCGGAGAAAAATATAAAGTGGAGAAACAAGTCAGATGGGGGGGATGGTGGTGATGGGGGAGAGCAACACGGGTGTCTCTCGCTTCAAGTTCTGTTTGGATTTTAATGCTAGAGATTTCTCTGATGAAGAAGTAGCTTAGAGAGGGAGGGCCAATGGCGGGGGCAGAGAAGCCGTGTGTGGATCAGAGAACACAAATGAGGTGGAATCTTTATAAAGGTGGAGATGGAGCAGCGACCATCCAGGCGGAGGTTCTGTCTCCTTCCATCACAGCCGTTACGTGGAAGGTGGAAGTGCTTGAAGGCCACCAGGGGGCTGGCTGGCAGGTGGAGACACAGGAGCCCCTTCCACCACCTATGGCACAAGACCCCTCAGCACAGAGTTGTCTAATCTGTGGCCTCCAAAGGTGCTGAGTACGGATGATGTGCAGTGTAAGAACAGCATCGCGATGGGTGTGGTGAGATGAAGGAGTAAATAAGCTTGAAAATCTAGTATTTTGAGCAATTAAAAGACAGAAATGTTTGGGAGATCTCATGCATGTTTTCTGCACCTTTTGAAGGACCCCTGAATGCCAGCCGGCGTCAGTAGTAGGAACCCTGACAAGCGACGAAATCTACACAACAGACTGTGAGTACACGGCCTTTCAGACGAGCGTGACTCTCGGGCATGAGAGGTGTGGGCCTGCCTGGTCTGAGCTCTGTCCGAGACACCTCCCTGTTCACCTCTAAAACCACCTCTGTTCCCAAGTACGAACGGAATCTTGGCTCACATGTCATGTGGCCAAATGCTTAAATAGTGTGTGTTTTTACACAAAAGATGCAGCGAGTTCATCTTCTTGAAATAGCAATCTGCAGGACTAGGACCTAATATCATAAAATAATGTTTAATATCTTCCAAAAGCTTGATCAATACCAACCCCTCCTGACTCATTTCATGTAGGAAATGAAAAATGCTTCAACATTGTTTGTTTTTACATAAAAGAAACACGAGTCTTCCAATCTTGATGCAGAAAGTTCATCTCCTTGAAATAGGAACCTGCGGAACTAGGAACTAATATAATAAAATTACATAAAATAATGTCTAATATTTTCCAAGAGCTTGATCGGTACCAGCCCTTCCTGACTCATTTCATGTAGGGAATGAAAAGACTTCATCTTGGATTTCATTATTTTTTAAAGCATCGGTAAGCTTCTATACTACTTAAAAAAAAAATGAATCCCAGAATTCCTGAAAATTCGTCATCAGCTCTGGGGAACCAGTACGTAGACCTCACAGTCCGCCCCTTCCTTTGCCTGCAGTCCCTGCTGTTGGGACTGTGCTATCTCTCAGACATGGTTCCCGTTCAGGGAAATCCTCCTCATGTATGTCCTCGAATGTGGGGACGGCTGGCGTCTGTCTCTCCACCCCTCACACACTCTGGAAAAAGGAAGATGCTACTTTTCTTGAATTTTTCATTGCTTTCTATTTACAGTCTCGGGCCAAAATTATTTCCAATTCCTTCACGTATCCAAGGACTTTATGGTTATATACATCAAGAACGTGAACGGCGATAGCGTTACAGAAATAATGGAAGCTTTTGGTAAGTGTTGTGGGGTAAACCATAGTATTATATAGAGTTTTACTAAGGAAAGGAGCAGGTGTATGTGTGTTAGTTTGGGCACTTGAGGATTCGCATTTTGTGTAGATGGAGTCTGGGATTTTGAAAGGTCATCCTGCTCCAGGTGACCCGCCAGAATGTATTTCTAAAAAGGAAACACTCTTATCCGGAGGAGGCACACAGGACTTCTGGGTGGGCCGTGAGGTACCTTCCAAGGCCGCACACGATCTAGCAAGTAGGGTCCAGCGTTGAATATTTCCCTCAAACAGATGAACCTCTTTCAAGCTTTGCCTGTGTTCATCTCAACCACAAATACTTTATTTTATGGAAATCTGAGGGCTCTGTTTTAGACGTGAATCATTTCTTCACTGGGTAAACACGCAAACATGTCACATCCCCCCACTGCAGTTTCTTTAGGCAACTCGACCACTTTGCAATCACATGAGGTCCACAGACACTTCGACAGTGAGTCCTTCTGACATGACTTGGGTGCTGGGTAGTGAATGACAAGGACAAGGAGAAGGAATTGTGTTTCTCCCTTTCAGCCTGTGCGCTGGGGCTTGAAGGGAGGTTCCCAGGATCTGTGCCCATGTGTCTTATGATATTGAAGATTACGTGAGAATGGACTGTAGAAAATAAATAAATAGACTTCTGAACTGTCAGTCCTACCATTTCCTACAATCTATGCACCTTGGAGGGCAGTATCAGATGTAGGGGTCAAAACACAGTCTTTTATTTTCTTAGCTGTCCCCAGAGCTAGAAAGGATAAAATGTTCCATCAGCGAACCCCACCTCTGGCGCCATCTGGAGAGCAGTATATGGGGGCCCTTCCCTGAGCGGCATTGATGGGGTGGGGGGACCATCATCACACAATGGCACCCACCCAGGCCACACTGTGGGAATTATCTTGTGTTTTAACGGCTATGTCTTCTGATTCTTTTCTACAAAAAGCACCGAAGGGGGAGACCCTTACAGATCAACAGGTTGAATCCTACCTCAAAATGACTGAAAAAAGGGGTATTCCATGGGAAAACGCCCAGTTCATCCCCCCTAATGGTAATGTCACCGTATTCTGGCTCTCGGGGTGAAATGTATCTGAAATGGAATCATTCCACTGTGATCCTCACTTCAAATTTCCATGGCACATGATCAGCTTTAATAAAGGCGGCTATAAAATTATTCTTAGAGAGTCAAGAATGCCAATGACCTCACTGTCTCCTGTCCTCTCTCCTTCACAGACATCTGCCCTCAATAAGAGCATCAGTTGGGTGAGTGCACATCCCTCTGCAAACCATGACTTTCAGTGCCCACGGACGTGTTTCTTCCCAGGATTACTTCGTTAAGAGTAAAATAAGGAAAGAGTTTGACTTCAAAGGTTGCGAAAACAGTGGCTGATATCAGGGTGTGGTTTGAAGTCATCCAAAAAATTCACTTATCCGGAGCATACAGTGGGATTTAGTAGGTGGGGGTTACAGGAATGGGGTCAGGTGAGGCACTGGATGGACCCTGAGAGATGAGGAACCCCGCTTGTGCCAGTGGGAGCAAATCCTCCTGCAGGACAAACTCTTCCATAATTAGAGATTAGATGTATAGAGGTTGTGAGGGACACGGGCTGAGAGTGTATAATTGGCTCCCTCGAGAGCCTGGGTTCCTGTGCAGGGGGTCACCACGGTGTGAGCCCTGAGCATGTGCACGTGGGGTGTCCTTTCACACGCTTCCATCTGGATGACACGTGTGCCCCACAGAGGAGGTGCCGGCAAGTGGGTTGTCCATGAGAATTGCTGCGCTGTGCCCACCGGCAACTGATTTCACCTCTTCCGCCCCTGTTTCACCAACCCCACATCAGTAATGGCAACTCGATAATGTTTCTCTTTCTTTTCGCAGCTTGAAGACGGCGGTGCCATGGGGAAGAGAAACACCACCATCTCCAGGCCCCCGGCTCATCGACACGAAGATAAAATTGCCTTTTCCTCTAAATCATAGTTTCCACTGCATGGGCAGAGACCATGCTCTTCCTTCTTACCCTACTTGATATTTCTTGATTCTCAAATGATTAAATAAAGTGATCCCCAAGCAAAACAAGCGTCCCTGAGTAAATGTATCATCCTGCGATGCACAGAAATGTCAGCATGAATGCCTCTGCTCCTCAGCTGGCCGGAGCAGACATCCACATGCCATGTGGCGGAGCGTGTGGTGACTGACGGGAACAGGGCTTGGAGGGTCGCATGGCAGGACCAATGGCCACAGTTCAGGGCCAGACCCTCCCCCTCACACCCTGGGGCAGCCAGGTCCAGAAAGGGGGGCCCATTTCCCCTCAGAGTGTAATGATCTAAAGGCCTGCAAGAGCCTCGACTTTGAGCAGAGGAAGGAAGCAGGTGCAGGGGGTGGGGCGAGGGCTTGGGAAGGGCCCCTGAGGAGGCTCAGTGGGGCCTGAGGGCCGCTGGTCTTGGTTGGCAGAGGAGGAGCAGAAGCTCGAGGCCCGAAGGCCACGTCCGGCTCCCTGGGGACGCAGAGATGGAAGCATCGTGCCGGCCCCTGGGGTTAAGAGTCCCTTTTTTCTCTCTCCGGAGGAATGAAACACATTAATGGCGTCTCCATGGTGAAGCGCATAGCTGGGTTGTCACGAGTGCGCTATGGCAACCGTGGTTTCTATGGCCCGAGCTGGAGGGAAGCTCAGAATCCCCTCCGTGGGGAAGACAGGAGCCTGTCCCGGTCCAGCGGGCGTCAGGAAGGTTCCAAGGGAGCCAGGCCGGGCTGCCGGGTGACCGAGCACAGACACAGACAAAAAGAAATTCAAGTCTATCTGTCGCCCTGAAGACAAGGGCCTGCTGGAAAGTCTGGGATGCAGAATCCTTGTTTTTCACCCCCAGGGGACTGGGGTTTATGGCTTGAGCTTGCAAAGCGGATGCTGAGGCCCGAGCACTAGTCCGGCACTGAGTAAGGACACACATCCTGTGTCTAAATACAGTCGCGGTGTCGTCTGGGCCCTGGACCCACCCAGGGAGCCCCGGGTTCTGCACGGTGGTGGTGGCAACTTCTCCTGCAGCTCAAAGGGTCTCCTCTGACCTTCCTGCCATGCGCCACGGTGACGGGGGATATAAAAACACCATCAAATAAAAATAAACTTAAGAATAATGCAAAAAATAAAGCTGAGCTTTGGGCATCTTGCAGAACGTCTACCCCGTGGGGGACAGGTGGACTCACCGTGTCAGGGAAAATGATAAATGGATGAAATGAAGTTGGAAAAAACGGTCAGAAGTTGGACGTGCTGTCCATGGGATTGGCATCCAGCCAAGGAAACTGAGGGCGAGTGTTCCGCGGGTATTTTCTTTAAAAGTTACCGGCCTCCTGATCTTCAGTGGCTTGAAGGGAGCACCATGATACGTGGTTAGGATTTTGTAAATTGTATTATTGTTTGTATTATCCTTCAGTGTAATTTTATTTGATGTTGTTTTTAGACCCCGACCCCTATCCCTTATGCCTCCTTCTTCCTCTCCCGCCCCTTAACCTCACCACCCTTGTGGTGTTGATTAATCGCCACTGGGGGTGAGTGTTTTATTTTACCCATTTTTCTCATTCTGACTCGCTTTACGGCACAGCACTCTCTCAGCTCCCTCCATTTGGCTGAAAGCACCTGCATGGCATCCTTTGTCCTGGCTGCATAGTATTCCACAGCATGGACAGAACCCATCTGTCCTCCAGCAAGGCCTCCTAAGACAGACCCGCCAGCTCACATCCAAGCATAGCTCTTTCCAGAAAGGGAAGCTCATTTTCCCCTAGAGTGTAGTTATTAGGCATCAAAGGACAGCAAGTAGCTCAGATTTGATAAGAGGAAGTTGCCAGCCAATGAAGAGAAGATGCAGGATGTGGGAAGTAGGGTGTTCGGGAAGGAACTCTAAGAGAGGTGCTGGAGGGCTGCTGGAATTTGTCAGAGGAGGAGGAGCAAAGCTCAAGGTCCAAAGGGCACATTCAGCTCCCCCCAGACTCAGAATCCGTCACCTGCTGATGGAATTTAGCTGTCTCTGTCCTGTCACTGCCAATAATGAGGTGCTCAGGGAGAAATATTTAAGGCAGAATTACTCCCCTCCCAAAGAGAGACAAGATGGCCGGCGGAAGCGCTCTCACAACCTCATCACCACTGCAGGGACATTCCCCAAAATTCACTGTGGCCTTCAAGAACCCCCAGGGGCTGCCAGGCTGCTCCTTTAAGTCCTAAACAAGCCATGGGTGAGTTTCAACCAAACGCCCCACTCTCATCTTGGCTGTCTCCGAGAGAACACGCCCCCCATACATGTGCTAGGAGACCATGAGAAGGAAGAACATGCCCCTCATACACGTGCTAGGAGACCATGAGAAGGAAGAACATGCCCCCCATGCATGTGCTAGGAGACCATGAGAAGAACACGCCCCCCATGCATGTGCTAGAAGGCCATGAGAAGGAAGAGCACGCCCCCCATACATGTGCTAGGAGACCATGAGAAGGAAGAGCACGCCCCGTCATGCATGTGCAAGGAGACCATGAGAAGGAGAGCACGCCCCCCATACATGTGCTAGGAGACCATGAGAAGGAAGAGCACGCCCCATCATGCATGTGCAAGGAGACCATGAGAAGAGAGCACGCCCCCCATACATGTGCTAGAAGACCATGAGAAGGAAGAGCACGCCCCGTCATGCATGTGCAAAGAGAGCTTAAAAAGACATCACTGTGTATTCAGTAAATAGCTTCAGCTTTCCTTTCTAACCCCTCCGATATGAGAGAAATATCCGTCCACAGTCCTCGGATTCTCAGAGATTACATTTTCTCCGTCTCCCTGAAATACAGCTGAGGAAGTGAAACGTTGCCCAGCCTGATACATTTTAATAAACCTCCCCTGCAATTTGATTTAACAGGTTCTAACAGCTAACTCGATTAGCGATTTCTTGTTTGTATTTGAATAGCAATGGATTTTCCCTGACAGTCATTTGTAGACCCTGATACCGGAGTGCGGCGCTCTGCGAGCGCCATGATTAATTAGGGCCTGTCCGATACCGACGCTATTAGGTGCACCTGGGGGGGATGGTTATGGGGGATACTTCCCCTTCCCATCCATCCGAGTTTCTTCTGGGCTGGTTAAAATAAATAAATAAATAAATAAATTAGCATCGGACAGACTGAGAAGAGGAACAGCCCCACAAGTAGATTAGGAAGGACATGCCCACGGCCCATATGACCTGTGCACCCGGGGGAGCCTCTGAGGCTGGGGAGCTCACCACGCCCCTCAGGCCTCCCCAACAAGGGCTCAGAGATGATTCCATGTAAACAGCCTCGGCCCCTCCCAGTAAATCAGCCTTCACCAAAAAGACATACTTGGAGAAGGCAGATGTTTGTTTCCTGACAGGGGCTAAGTCCCCGCGAGAGAAACGATGAACTCCAGGTTTAATGTCTAACCTCATTAAGTATTTCCCACCTTTGATATGACCTTAATGTTCTTAGTAGGGAAACCTACGATCTTTTTGGCAAGAATTTTTACAACAGCTTCTTACCTGGTTTCCTAAGTCACCTGTAGTTGTACTTTTCCCCCCAGGCATCTCAGCTGAATAAAAGTAGATCTTTCTAAAATTCGAAAGTAGGAATTGTAACTATAAGAATCCGTGTCCAGTGAATGGATTCCAGGGGCCAGTCCCAAAGGGTAGAATCGTCGCCCACCTGCCGGGTCCCAGGGTCAAGTCACGTTATCCTGAGTGCAACCCAGAGGGTGCGTTTGAAAGTGATCTGGGGTCACGCGTCTCCACATCAACATTCTCAACTTCGCAGTCTATGCTCCGTGGACAGCGTGGGCGTCTGGGGTGCTGGAACAATGAGCAGAGGAAAGGATCCTCTACTGTCCATGTGTTGGATGCAGGGAAATGCATTTTTGCTGCAAAAAAAGGGACAAAGGAGGCTGCATTCTCCAGCTTCAAGACAGCAAGCGCTTTTTTCTCAGCAATTGCACATGTAGGTCTCTACCAAAGAGCACTAAGTCACTGATCCAAAGGGGCGTCTGCACTCCTGTGTACACTGCAAGCTATAGAAGCACCTAAGTGCCCAAGGACAGATGAATGGACAAAGAAGATGGGGTATACACACACACACACACACACACACACACACACACACACACACGGAATACTACACAGCTATCAAAAAGGTGAAGCCTTGTCATTTGTGCCAACATGGATGAACCTGTGGGGGATGATGCTGAGTGAAGTAAGTCAGAAGGATAAAGACAAATACTGGATTATTTTACTCAGCATGGAACATGGAGAAATAAAGTGAAGACACAGGGAAACTGAAACCAAAACAAGTCCTAGAAATCTGATATGAGGCTACCAGAGGGGTGGAAACCAACGTCATCGCAATCAAAAAATAGGACTTTAAAAAACGAGCAATTAAATCTCCATAGCTCCAACCAGGCAGAACAACAGGGAAACGGTGATGACACACTGCAGATTGGATTATGCTCAGAGAAACATCACTCCACGACCCTCGGGACGCATTTATGTAAATTTTCCTCAACGCAGTCTACAGAACACCAACCTCTCCAGATACTCGGCAAGAAAATGTTTTCGCTGTCCAATTTTTTTAAAGCTCTGTTGCATCACACATGCCCTACTCGGGGACTTGCGATGTCACTTGACATACTGAAAGCCCCGAGGAGTTTGTGATGACAAACCTGGTTCCATTGATCAACGGTTCACCAAAAGGACTTATGTAAACACGAAGGGTTATCCACAGCCACGGATTCCCCAGATTCTCACCTCCATTTACCACGGACGACGTATCAGCATGTCCAGTGTGGCTGGGGCAGTTGTGCAAGTCAAAGAGACCAAGCAGTTCCTTGGAGTTTTCAGGTGAGTGGTACTTAGGTAGGCAGGTAAGTCGGTGGACAGGTAGGCAGTGACCTGACCTCGCCTCTCCTGCAGGGGGAGACCCTCGATCTTGAGATCAGAGAGTGATCTAAACCAGTGTCACCTGAATAAAAAGTAAATAAATGCAACGGTGTCTCCTGTTGAGCTCAACCACAAAATATCAGAATTCTTTTTAATGTCGTGT